TGCTATTCTAGGTCTCTTCTTGTTCCAAATGAATTTTTGGATTGTTTTCTCAAGCTCTGTGAAGTATGCCATTGTCTTTTATTCTGCTCTTTATTTATAATTTGATTTTCTAATATAAAAGAAACTATGCCATATTTAAGCTTAAGAGTAATAAACTGTCAAATGTTTTGAGAATGGTGGTGCTAGGTTAAACACACACCCCACACCCCAGATACATGAATATGTGAATGCCAGCGACTCCATACTCTCATCGTGACCTGGAATTGTCAATCTTTTTATTTTCTCTCTATATATTTACGTCAAATACTTTCTTCCCATGGCAGAAAGAGAGATATTTCTAAAACTGCACACCTGGCCATCCCTGCCCCGCCCCTGCCCCTGCTGAAACTCCTCCCAAGGCTCTCACTGCTCTCGGTCACTCATAGTCCTATGTGGAGCGCAAGCTCTGCATGAGTCATCCTCGCTCACCGCTCCACATTCCTTTCCCCCCCCTCCCCCACCCAACATGTGAAGTGCGTGGATACACACACACGTGAACATATGCACATGCATAGAACATAGTCCAACCAAAGCAAACTATATCCATTTCCCCCAGTTGCCCCTTTCTCTTGTCTTTGGGCCTGGCAACAAGCTGCTTCCTCTAGAACACTCTTGCCATCTCCTTTGGATGACCAATTCCCACCACCCTGAGCCCTCAGCCTCATGTCTCCCCTGTGGGAAGCCTTTGCAGGCATCTCAAACCTGAGTGTGCTGCCTCTGCTCAGCTGTTTGGCGTCCTTCGTGTCTGGCACCAGGACTCTTGGGACACTGTCTTGTAATTGGCTGCTTATCATCTCCCTCTCTCACTAGACCAGACCATGGACTCCCTGACAGCAGGACCTGTGTGACCAGCCTATCTATGAAATGAATTTGCTCAATAAGAGCAGAAGAGACTGTAAGATGGTGAGCAGTTGAAATCAGGCTAGAGAGAAAGCACCATCCCATCACCCCTAGAATCCAAATATTCAGGTAGGGAAACTGAGGCCCAGTGAGGTGCCTCTCCCGTCTGGTGTCATGTTTGGTCAGTGAGAGAGCTGTTGCCCTGAACTGCACATTGGGTGTCAGGTGCTGGTTGCTCTCTGCTGCACTTCAACTTAGCTGCCTGCATAAGGGAGAGAGCAGGGCTCCCAGGAGGGAAGAGTGCACAGGGTAGGGAGCCTTGGCTCCTGGGACACAGATGGAGGGCTTGGTCCCGGGGACATGAGAAGCAAGGAAAGAAGTCCTGGGCCAGGGACTTCTTATATGTTGGATTTCTCATATAAGAGAAATCATGCAATATTTAAGCTTATGTGTCTGATTTATTTCACAATAACACTTTCTGCCATAAAGAAGAATAAACTTGTGCCAAGGAATATCTAGAGCAGACCTCCTTCAGACTTCCCCAGGAGCCTGGGGTGGCTCACCCTTCTCTGGGGGAGTGGCAGACATATGGGAAGAAATGCAGAATTTCCAGTATCACACAGCTTACCTGAGTGGTCTCTTCCTGCTGGTGACCAGAGCCAAGGCCAGCAGGAAGAAACAGGAGCTTAATACACTCAGCACTGAGTTCAGCCTCTTCTGCCAATAGAGCTCGGCACACTGAGGTCAGACTCAGAGGTGTGGAGCCACTGGGCATGTAGAGGAGTTCTTCTATGAAGAGCTCACTATGGCAGGGTAAGGGGACAGCAGTAAAATGCAACAACAATACCTGTACCTCATGTGCGAGGATGAAGTAAGATGAAAAGGGCTTAGAATCATGCTTGGTACATGATGCCACTCAATCAACTGTTGTCATGTGCTGAGAGGGTTGTTGGGAGGCATGAACAGGATGATACTTCAGGGAGACCTTGCTAAGCTCTACTGACAGTGAACAGTCTTCCTGTTAGGAACTCAACTAAGAGCTGTTGACGGAGATGGGGACACAGGGACAGAGAGGAGGGAGTGGGACTGACTAATCACCTCCTCCATTCCTTGAGTTTTCCCCTGATGCCTGCATCAGGCTACACATGCAATTTTGGAAAGATGCATAGGGATCCCACAGTCCAATCCCCCAGTCTTACACAAGGAGAAACTGAGGTCTACAGCATGGAAGTGACTGATCCAGGGCCGAACACAAGGTGCAACTCCCCTGGCTCAGATCCAAGGTCCCTCCTCCTGTCTCAAGTGAAGTCAGAATGGGCTCTCCCTCTAACATCAACAGGGCTCAGGAACTCTGAGAACCCCAACCTCTGAAAGGCCCTGCTTTGATGGCTTTCTTCCTGTTTCCCCTGGAAGGCAGCTAAAAAGTACTTGAAAGTCGCTTCCACTTCTGGGTCCCCTCCAGTACTCTCCTCCCTGGGCTTTTCCTGGGGAGCTGAGGATGGGCCAGCAGCCTGGATACACCTGAGGTTTTCAAGGAAGGCCAGAGTAAGTCCTCTCTTCCCCTCTCATGGAACCCTCTCCCACTCCTTCCCTTCCTCCTTCCTTGTTCCTTTTCCTTTTTTTAAAAAAAAATGAGCCCCTGGATCACACCTACCTCTCTGTGTTGAACTTGCTCCCTACAGCAGCCCATTCTGAATGCCTTGAGTGTGCGTCCTTGTTGGACAGTAGAATTCCTCTACTTGAAAATGGTGGCAGGAGAAAGCAGAGTCACTGTGCCAGACATGGCCCAGGGTGATCTAAGGCACATGGTGACCAAAAAGCCCAGGAATCATGGACACACCAAATGGGGAAATGAAGACTTAGTTTGCCTCTTGATTTCTGGATATATTGTTAGAAGGGCCCACAGGGAGGTCTTGATGCTGTAATAGACCCCCACGTGGTCAGAGATTCTCCTCCTCATGGAGTAGGCTCATAGTTGCCACACAGATGCCCTGGGGGTGAACTGGGCACAATTATTTTCCCTGCTCTTCTGATGAGGAAACCAGAGCTCCAAGGTGTCAGAGCTGCTCCTACCAATTAGCACAGCCAAGGCTCAGCCAGGGTTTCTGATAGCACATCTAGGGTTCTTTCACTAATGATTTTCCCTGAAAGAAACCCAGAGTTTTAAATTTAGGACAACATACTACCTTGGCTTTTTAGCTCAGAGATAAAAATTGAGTGAATTGGAAGTAACATAATCTACAAAAGAGACAAATTATGGTAAAGATAAAAGTAACCCTGAATGAAAGAAAAATGGAGTGTCCCATTCTGGTCTTCTCTTGGTCCACCTCTTAATTTCAAGTTAGATCATATTTCCTCCCCCCAAAATTTCCCTGCCTCCCATCAACCTCTAGGTTGTTATGGCTGTGTCTAGATGTCCCCAAAAGGCTCATGCAGTCATAGGTGGGACGTTTTCAGAGGTGGCTGGATCTAGAGTGTGTGATGCTGGGATTAAGGGTGTGTGATTACTAAATTACTCCACTGATTGGTTTGGTACCCACTCTAAGCCTGGCAGCCTAGGTAGAATATAAAAGGGACAGAAAGAAGCTGCTATTGTCGATTGTTGATTCACTTGCTTGTTTTGCTGTCTTCTGCCTGCCATGAACTGTTTCTCCTCTGCCATCCCAGCCTACTTTGGAGCCAGTTGATTATGGCTTGAAACCTCTACAAACTGTGAGCTAAATAAACCCTTCCTCCTTCAACTTTGGGTGTCAGGTATTTTGTTTCAGCAACAAGAAAAGTAACCGAGGGCCAGGGATTTAGCTCAGTAGTTTCAATGCCTGCTGTGCAAGTGCAAGGACCTGAGTTAGATCCCTGGTACCCTCCCCCCAAAAAAGTAACCGAGATGGGGGTGGAGTGGAGCCTCTTCCTTCTGGAACTACCTTCTCATGCTCCAGAGTCTGTACTATAGTTTTCACACTGGGTTGTCATTTTGTCATCCACACACTCCCTTGTCCTGTGTACAGTGGGTTCCTCAAGGGCAGGGACCTGCCAAAGGGCACAGGGGACTTAGGCAATGAAGTGACTGGAAGGAATTGGTAGGGTTCAGTTTGATGGTGCATCAATGGGTCTCAAGTTTGGTGCTGGGCTCCAAGCATTGGCTTCTCTGGGGTCCAAGGAGAGGTTTGCCACAGGTTAAAAAAAAAAGTGGCCAGGGGCTGAGCAATGTGCCTTATGGAGGATCTAGACAAACAGGTGGCTTTGGCAGAAATATAGAAGCCAGAACTATAGCCACAGGCCTGAGGTCTAGGCTCAGGACTCAAGCTTTGGGTTTTGTTGCAGGGACTTAGAATGATCTTGAGGGAAATGGGCTGAAAGACTGGGACTGGTATTAGGGATGAGTCAGAGGCTTTTCTTTCTCCTAATACAGTGATGGCAAACCTTTTAGAGCTTTGAATGATATAAACAGCCTGCTGGAGCATGTGTGCCATAGGTTTGCCACCACTGCCCTAGCAGCTTCCAGGCCCACTGGGCTGTCTTCCAGCTATCCTGAGAGAATGTAGGGTCAAGAATCTGGGGCAGCCTCAGCTGCAAGAAGAGAATTGAGAGCAGAGAGTGGGGCAGGGCATTTTAACAAGCTCCATTTCCCTCACTCCCAAAAGGCGAAAGAACTGAATAGTTAATATAAGAAGATCAAAAAATTAATGTTTGGGTTAGAAATTCCTGGAATCCAGACACTTGGATAAAAGGAGTGCTTGACTTCCATATGGAGCTTTCTGTAATTGGTATGGCAAACAGCAAAGGCCGCCTTTTTCTTTGTGCAGAATGACCCTCATTTCTTTCCCTATTCTCCCCAGTTGCCCTGGTCCATCACTCTGACCCCAAAGACAGGCTGACAGCCAGAAGGCCTATTGAGTAACTAAGCTTATGTCTTACCAAATCATTTGGATTTTACTCTCTGGGTGAAAAGCTTTCAGTCTCTGGCCATAGCAGTTACTTTGAAGACATGGGTCATACTCCTGGTGGTAGAAGGAAAGTGTCCCCTTTTCTGTTCCCACAGTGAGAAACACTGGACCCTTCTCTGTCCTGAGAGGTAGGGCAGATAAAAGGCCAATTTGTCACACACTTGAAGAAATGAAGGCAGAAGTTAACAATACTTATTGAGAATCTGCTAGGTACAGATACGGTCTCAGGCCTTTCACATACATTATTGTGAACATTATGAACATACGACAGCCCAGGGAGATAAGGTGTTATGTCCTCAATCTCCAAAGGAATGAACAGAAACTCAGTTGCCATGTTACAGAAGAAATGGAGTTTGGATCTGAACTCCAACTTAGTTCTCTCTGAGGTCTTTACACCCCAACTTCTTGCACAGTGGGGACACTTCGGTTGGTGTGGGAGACACAGGGTTGGTGTGATCTTTTCAGCGCTGGGATGATCACACCTTGGTCACTGGAGCTTGCCTGGCCACAGGAGTTTCTGATTTTCCTGATTCCCCTTCTTTGTCCCAGCTTCCCAGGTTGAGTCAGCTAGACCATTTGGTGGCTGGTCTAGATGTCCAGAAGTGATAGGCCTTGTCCCGGCCTAGAGCCTCTTGTTTCTAGGAGAAGAGTGATGGTGTTGGTTCCCTGCAAAAGACCTGCAAACCAAGTCCAGAGGATGTGTTGGCTCCACAGGTTTGCCTGTGAAAGAAGCCAGGGAGCACAGTTGGTTGTAGGGATTTTGATGAACATAATCAGCTGCAAACTCCTAAAAAACAAACAGACCACGATCCAGAGGTTTGAATAACAGCCCCTCTACCAGATGGCCACAGGAGCTTTGCCAGAGAGAAAATATTCTCCAGCCTGAATCTCCTCTTTGTTCTGGACCCCGCTCTCTCGGGACAGCATCAGAACAACCCCACCTTTTCATGCGCCAGCCACCCAGACAGGGTCTTGTGTTCAGGGAGTTTAAGGCTGCTTCCCCCAGATTAGGATTTGGGGACAGGGAATCAAGCAAAGAAGTAGCTTTTTTGTCCCAGTATGAGTCACCACAGGGTGGAGGAAACACACAGCTGTTTGCATCTGGGCCTGGAATGCAAGGACAAGAAAGAAGGACACTACCAAGGAGCCCTGGACCCTTGGGACAGAACAGGAAGTCTATTCTGCGTGGGACAGACCTTCTGAATACCTTGGGCCTCTCCATCAAACCTTTACATCTGAACTCTTAGGACTTCAGTGCTAGCTTGTTGCCATGTTAAATTGCAGCCACGCCTGAAGCAAATGGTGGTGAGTGCATCCTGCCAAACTCAGCGTCCTGTCACTCCAAGATGAGCACCAATGGATCTGAATCCTTGCTCTTCCACTGTGACTTTAGAGAGCTTATTCTGTTTCTCTGAGCCTGTTTCTACTTCACTGAGTTTTAATGAGAATGAAAAAGACATTAGATTTTCAATGTATATAACACAGTTTAAGGTACACACAAGGCACTGCATAAACATTCGTCTCCTCTCTCCCAGTCTTCTCATCTGAAGCCTTTTGGTACCAAAAATTTCTTTTACTACCTAAATGTCTTCCCCGATCCATGATTCAATCTTTCATTCGTGGCTTTTGGCAAAACTTTTAGGTACAACCCTTTTCCCATTTTCCTTGAGTGGATTCATATCCCTCCCATTGTTATTTTAGTTACTGTGTGTGCCAGTGTGTATTTGGATTTGCTAAGCTGCCACAGATTCTGCTTGGAAATAGGCAAGGTAGGGTATAATTACAGTGAGGTTGCATCATCCTCATCTAACTTGCCAGCTTGCTTTAGAACTCTCCTCTGCCTCTCAGATGTAATTCCACTTTTTAAAAGTCTTCACAACAAGAAGCATATGTATATTCATACGTATGAAGGTTTTTAAGTTAGTCAGGTTAGGCTGAGTTTTGCTGCAATAACAACTCCAAATACGAATGGCTTATAACAGCAAAGGTTTACTTCTCATTCGTGTTCCATGTCTCTTGTAGGTTGCTAGAGTCTCTGACCACACGAGTTCTTAGAAACTCAATGTTCATCTTCTGGAATTTTGTTGGTAATTGCAGTAGAGAGAAAAGATGATGAGGAATCCTTTGTAGCACTTTAATGCTTCTGCCTAGCAGTAATGAATGTCACTTACCATTTCACTGGCCAGAACAGGGACATACAATCCTATTGTATGCTCAGATGGAAAATAATCAGAAATATTAATGCACAGAACTAACACCAACCACATAGAGACTCAATGTTCTAAATATAATAGAGAGAACCTTGCAAGTAAGGAGAAACTTTGGAATCCTTCACCCCTGCTAATCCCCACTAGGGACTTGCTAGTGATTTTAAAAACAGAATATGCCCAGATATTTGCAGGGAGAATGACTTGTTTCTCTCTTTAGTCTATTTCAGTGGTCCTGAATTTCTAGTGTGCATAGAACTACTGTTTGACATCACATGACATTGTGTACATAGTCCTGAAGGGTTTTCAAAGTGTTTTGAACATAAGCAGATTTCCTAGTATGTGTTGAATTTTGAACCTAATCCACTTAGGATGTGACTCTGTAAGATTTCACTGATACCAGACTCTGACTTAAAAATCCCAAAGCCTATGCCTGCAATCATTAAATGAGAATCCCAGCATTCAGCAATTTGACCTTCTCTTTAAAGACTGAGATATTCTCATAGTCCTTTGAAATTAATAGATTTAAGTATGCATCCTGATATGTTTTGACAAGTGCATTTATCCATGTAACTCACACCTTTACCATGATACAAAACATTTCTCTCACTTCAAGAAATCTCTCCTCCTTCTTCCTAATAATTCCCATCCTCAGATATTGGAGCTCAAAATCCAACCATTGCTCTAATATCTTCTACCTAAGATTAGCTTTATTTGTTCTAGAATTGCCTATACATAAAATGATACTGTATGATCTCTTTTGTTTCTGACTCCTTTTACATGGCATAGTCCTTTTGAGATTCCTCCATGTTTTGTATGATATAATTTTTTTTCATTGCTTAATTGTATTCCATTGTATGAATGTACAGACTTTATTTATGCAGCAGTGGATGGACATTTTGGTTGTTTCCAGTTTGTGATGATTCTGAATACAGCCTCTCTAAACAAGTCTTTTTGAGGACATATGTTTTCATTTCTCTTGGCTAAAGATGCAAGAGTGACACTGGTGGATTACACAATTACATGATAAAGATAAACACATGTATAACTTTGCAAGAAACTTTCAAACTGTTTTCTGAACTATCTCATTTTATATTCCTACCAGCAATGAGTGAGAATTCCATTTGCTCCATGTTTGACAGCACTTGTTATTGTTAGTTTATTTTCTTAAACTCTTTATTTTAAAAGTTATAGATTTACAGAAAAATTGCAAACATAGGAGTTTGCATACATCCTAAACCCAGTTTCCCTTACTATTAACATTTTATACTGATATGGTACATTTGTTACAATTAATTAACATTATTTTTAACTAAAGCCTATTCTTTATTCAGATTTCTCTAGTTTTTACCCAATGTTCTTTTTCTGTTCCAGAATTCCACCCCATGACTCCACATTGTATTTAGCTGTCATGTCTCCACAGATTCCTCTTTGTTATGATGGTTTCTCAGACTTTCCTTCTTTTGGGTTTTTTTCCTCCTTGTTGTCTTAGCAAGTCTGAGAGTACTAGGTATTCTGTAAGAAATGCCAGTTGAGATTTGTCTGTCTCTCTCAAGGTCAGACTGGGGTTATAGGTTTGGGGGAGGAAGACCACAGAGGTGAAGTGCCATTCTCATCATATTGAATCAAAGGCGCCAACTATCAACATAATTCATGACTATTGACTATGGTTGTGATAACCCAACTGAGGTACTGAGAAAAAAAAATCTGTAAATGTGCCCATATTTTTACCTTTTCCATTGCTCTGCATTCATTCTGCAGCATCTTATCTGCTGTTATCCAATTTAGTGAAATTTTAAAATTTCAGATATTATCTTTTTATGTCTAGAATATCTACTTGTTCTTTTTTATTATTTCCATTTCTCTGTTGATATTCCCTCATCTGTGCACTCATTCTCTTTCTTCAAGTAAGTGAACATATTGCTAAAGCTATTTTAAAGTCCTTGTCTACTAATTCCATCATCTGTGTCATATCCGGTTCTGTTTTTACTGATTGTTTCTTCCAGTTTGGTGCACATTTCCTTTCTTCTTCATGTTTCTAATATTTTGTGTTTGTTTGTTGGACTTTGCAGACAGAATGTTGAGAACCTGGATTGTGTTATATCTTCCTTCAAAGAACATCATGGCTTTTCTCTAGTGGGAAATTAGTTTTATTTTAAAGATAATAAGACATGGCCTTTCTGGGGGTCTCATTTAAATGTCCAGGGCATGCAATGAGATGTACCTAATATGGCTAGTCACACTTCCAACATTTGTCATCCCTGTGAGACTACAAAATCTCTTAGGTTTGCTGTCTTCCTATAGCTGTTCCTTGCCAAATCTCTCAGAATCTTACCCTGTGAGTATGCAGCTTAATATTCCATGAAAGACATAAAGATACTCCGTGTAAATTTCAAATAAGTATTTTTAAAGCTTCCTAAGTAACACCAATATACAGCCAAGGTTGAGAACTATTGAATATTAACTGCTGAAATGTGAAGAAGCTGGGAGAAAAAAAATACCCTAGTAGCAAAGAAAATTCAGAATCCCTCCAGATGTGATAGTTCTGGACAAAGTCATGAAGAATGTTAACAAAGGAGCTGTACACCAAAAGGGATCCAACCAGAGAGACATAAAGGAACAGCATCTATGATAAATCAAGGAGCTAAGTTTAGTGAATAGTCCCCTACAAGACTTTCCCATCAACTAATCTGAGAAACTAAAGTGATATCTAGTTGTAAAACAAAAAATACTGATGCACTAAAACTACCCAGGAGTGGAACTTAGATCAACCCTTAGAGAATTTTCGTCAGTTGCAAGGTCTCAAGCTCAGGGGCTGTAAAGAGGAATAAGGTGTTATTCCTGCCCCAAAGTAGTTCCCAATCTAGTGGAAACTCCAAGTACATATGGAGCTACATGAAACGGGTTTCTCACTGTGATAGGATCATGGTATGGCAGAGATGTATTCAGCTTGCTTTTAGGAAAACAAGTATTTGTAACATTGAGTCTGAAAGGCTTCACAGAGGACTCTCTTTGGAGCTGGATTTCTTTAAGGATAAGAAGGGTGAAGAAGGTGGTGAAGATGAAGAAGGCAAAGGTATTCTAGGTAGAGAGAACATATACATTGCGCTGGGAGAATAAAGGGAACAAAAGGGGAAATTTGGGGTGTTTGGTGTGGAAATATAAGGAGTAGAAGCACAGAAAGCAGAATAAAGTGCCTTTCCTCCACCCCATAAGTGAGATAAATCAAACTTAGGAAATAACAAACATAAACAGTTCTTCCTGATCTATAATGAATCATGCCTAATGGGGGCTTCAGTAGATCCTTCGCAGAAGCTTAATGAAGGTGTGTGATTCATAGGAGCAGATTTACACAGCCAAGGTACAGGGAGCCTGAGATGAGTGACCACTTTAATCTGAAGAAAGGGACACTACCAAAGTCACACATTGTGTTTGGCATAAAACTTCAGAGAGCCATCTTTACATGTGGGTTATGACCCTGCTTACTGTTTGATCTGGGCACAGGCACTGCAGAAAGGCCAGATAACTGGAGTGAAAAGATTAAGGATTAAAGATACGTGGCCAAGTGTGTTTAATAGAAATCTCTCCTACAGGGAGAAAACACAAGTCTGAGCTTACAGCGGTCATTGACTGCATACTGTGCCCTCGAGAAAGTCCATTCACTCCTCTGGGCCTCAGTACCACTGTCCATGAAATGGGCACATTAATGCTGCTTGCCCTGCTACACTCGTGTCATTGTCAGGAAGGAGCTTGCCTGCTTTGTGTGGAAAGGCTGTTAAGATTTAGAGCCTGACAAGATGCAAAGGGTTATTATTACTAATAATAAACAAAAAGAATGTGTGACAATGGCCAGAATTTCCTGTTGAGACAACAACTTCACGAAACCATTTTAAAAAGTAGGATGTTTTCCAGTTCCATAAAAAGAGCTCTGCATTGGTATTGTTTCAACATTCCTCCGGGAGTAAAGGGTTTGGTAGCAATAAACAAAGAACAAGCCAATTTATCCTACAGATTCTTTTTCTCTTTAGAATCACTTCTGTAGCTTTTTGTGCCTTCCCAAGATTGTTTTCCTGCCACAACTGATGAGAGCTGGATATATCCAATTTGATTTTTTCCCTAAAAGACTGCATCTCCATTTTGGGGGGGGGGGGGGTACAGGGACGTACTCAGGACCTTGCACTGTGAGGCAGGCAGCAGAACCACTGAGCTAAACCCTGGGCCCCACATCTCCATTTTGTATAAGAAGGCTAAACCTGAGTCATCTGCAGGAAAGTGGATGCACCTTGAGACCATACTATTAAGTGAAACAAATCAAGACACACGAGCTTAAATATCGCATGATTTTTATATGAGAAACCCAAATTTAAATAAAGAGCAAAATAAAAAATAGACCATAGGAAATAGAGAGAGAAACTTGCCAATGGGAAGGAGACCAAGAGATGGAAGAAGGGGCAGAGAGGGAGGAAGGGGCTGAAGAAAGAACTGAATCGTGTTATGCACCTGCACCACCTCCACACGAGGAATGATTATTACGTCCTCCCAGTGTGTACTAATAAAAAGTAAAAATTGCAGCAAAAGATGGCATCTCTCCATATGCAATGGCTCATGGAATCCGGGCCCTTGACTACCTCTCTTAGCCCAGGCACAGGTCTGGGAAAAAGAAGCACATCCATCTCAGCGACCTCACCAGTTTCTTCTGACACCAAACAGCTCTATCAGAATCTCTTTGGTCCTCTCTATCTGCTCAGGACAAGAGGCTTTCATACAAATGCAATTGACATTTGTAAATCTGTCAAAGAAATGAGTATGGGTGAGGCCCATGGGGGGGATATAGACGGCCCTTCAGAAATGTAACACAGGGATTATTTCTTGTCGGACTAATGCCACCTGTGAAGATTTTGATAAACTTTGGGCTGTCTTTTTCATTTGATTTCATCACACACTGCACCAGCTGCCCACCCTGGTGTCCTGCCACAAAGAGCATGTGGGTTCCATTCCTGGATGGGGGTTCAAAACCTTCTGCTGAACTGCATCTCCTCCCAATTTTCCACTAGAATAATCCAACTGCTATAATAGTGGGAGGCTCTGCATCACCACTGGGACTGGAAGGGCCTCCTCTTCCATCAGACTCTCACTCACCTCCCAGCTCACTGTGTACCCAGGTCACCTGATGGTCACCTGGGAATCTCATTAGAATCCAGATGCAGGCTCAGCAGGTCTGGGGTGTGACCCAAGAATTTTCATGTCTAACAAACTTCCAGATGCTGTCGAGACTGCCTGTCCCAGGTCCAGACTTTGAGGAACAAGAAGTCAGAAGACAAATGTAAAGAAATCTCCCAGAACTCAGAATAACAGGCCAAAGAGATAAAAGGATGAAAGGAGAGTTGAAGAGAGCCCAGGACCACAATGAAGCTTCTGTGTGAAGAAGAGAAAGATGGAAAACAAAACTGAAGTTGCACATATGTTTCAACTTTAATATAATTCATCATGTGAGTATGCCAAAGGAGAAGTACCATATAATTGTTTTCGATGGATGACAAAAATCATCTGAGGAAATGCAACATTCCATCATCACCATCAAGAGAAGAGGAAAAAAGAATACATTTTTTTAAAGTGACAAATGTACTGTATGTAAAGCCAAGTCCAGCAGGAAGCCGAATGTGAGATATGGGCAGCATTCCCATTGTCATTAGTAACCAGAAGGATGTTCGCTCTCGTCAACACTATTAACCTGCAAATTCTGACTCAGTCAACCAAATACAAAAAATGGCATGCGTATGATATTAGTTAGGGTCTTGTTCAGTTTCATTCTAGTCTTGCCCAGTTGGAGCAGGGGGCCTGGGCTTGTGGCATCTCCTCAAGATGTCAGATTCTAGGGCTTTGTGGTTCTCTGGCACATCACAGAGCATCACAGAGGTGGTGCTCGTCCTTAGGATCTGTGGTGGCAGCCAGAGCTGATCTATGGATGCTGTAGCTGTCACAAATATTCAGTGTCTCAAGGCTTACATATCTTTAGTACTTTCCTTTTTTTCTTTTGGTTTTTTGAGACAGAGCCTCAAAAAACCAGCTTGGAGTTCAAGCTGGCCTTGAACTCACTGTGTAGCCCAGTCTGGCCTCAAACTCATGGTGATCCTCCTGCCTCAGCCTCCTGAGTGCTGGGATTACAGGTGTGCAGGACCACACCTGGCCTTTCTTGGTCCTCCCATCCTTTCCATCTATGATCAGTCCACATATATTCTACTAACTTTATCTGTGACGTGTCATACAGCCACTGGCTTCCATTAGCCCAAGCAGAATTAAAAATTCTTACTTAATGTAGCAATACATGTTACATAAAATAAACACATCACACTAACAAATAAAGCAAATTAAATAACATACATTTGATAATAACCAGGGATTTTTAAAAAATGAGTGATAATATGAACTCATCCTAACAATATTGAATTGTGTCATAAACAGCAAGAAATTTATAAGTATGCTAGCAGCTGAAAAAAGAGCAGGTTAGTACAGAAAAGAAAGGCCAGCATATAAAAAGTAGCAATACTAATACTATTGTTTCTAAATCAATTTTAAAAGATATAGGGTGATTCGACTTGCTAACAATATGAGGAAAATAAAATAAAGTCCTTACCTCACACTATTCAAAACTTACAGATAAATTAAAACTATAAAAGTAAGAAGTGAAAACAGGTATGACAAGAAAATAATATATATGTGTTTAAGTCATCTTGGGCTGGGAAAAGACTTTTAAATCTGCCAGCATAGATGGAATAAAAATGGAAATATCAATGGATTTAATTCTTAATTTAAAATGTCTGCATAATTCTTTTTTTCTTTTTTTTTTTTTTGGCACTGGGGATCAAACTCGGGACCTTGTGCTTGTGAGGCAGGCGGTGGAACCACTGAGCTAAATCCCCGGCCCTATGTGTAATTCTTAAAAGACCAAAACTGAACTGGGATAATGAAATAGAGAAGATCTGGAACAGGCCAGCTAGTCCTCCATCTGTTCTGCTAAGGAGGGGTCCATAGATCCCACCAAGCTCACAGTGGTTTTGCCTGTATGCTGCTTGAAGGCAGATACACGCAGATACACACACACACACACACACACACTCATAATTTTTAACTGTTCAAAAATATATAGATGAATCTTGAAAGCATTGTTCCAAGTGAAAGAAGCCAGATCTAATAAGCCACGTGTTGTAAACTCCATTTATATGAAAACTCCAGAAAAATCAAATCCACAGAGACAGAAAGTAGATTAGTGGCCCTGGGGTGGGATGAGGGGCAGTGTACAACAGGAAGTGACTGACAATGTATAGGGGATTTTTTGGGGGAGTGATGAAAATACTCAGGAATTTGAGAGTGTAAGATTGTAAAACTTTGTGAATATACTAGAAACCATTCATAGCATAGAATTATTTACCTTAAAAGGATGAAACTTAAGTATTGAGTTATGTCTGAATTTTTTCAGAAAGTGTAGGCTGCAAGTCACTACTGGGAGTGAGTTTCAGCTCCCTTCAATAGACTGCCATTGTCTATAATGTGGTGAGTTTAAAGAACTGTTTTAGAGTGTCATTAAGACACAGTACCTGAGCAGGACCCACCCAAGGGATATTTACATCATGATGGCCAGGGTGGGCTCGCCAAGGACATGCCTCTCACTCAGTGATGTGGCTCTCAGACAAGGCCTTACCCTTGAATAAGCCACCCCTATACCCACCACCCAGGTTAGAGCTAGCCATGAATCCTGCCAACAACCCCAAAACTTCTGCTTTTAGTTTACAATTTTGAGCAAAAATGTACTGAACCTCTGGTGGGAGAATTTGGCCATCTGTGGTTTCAGAGCATTTTTGAGCTTTTGGTTTCTAAATGATGACCTTGAGCTCACACGGACTGGGATCCTCTCCCAGAACTCCATCCACATCGCTTTCCAGCAACACCAAGCTAGTCAGCCCTCCATCAATCTGATATTGTGGAAATATAGACAAGGTATATCAGAGCAGGAAGGAGCCTTGGAGATTAAGCAATCTAACTACTCCAACTTCCACCTCGTACAGTCAGGATTTCATGGATGAGTTCCAGAGAGGCGACATCCCTAGATCACCCTACAAAGCAGTGACGAAACTAAAATTAAATTTCTGTGTCCCAGTCCCAAAAGCACATGTGGTTTTACATTCAATTATTTCTGTTGCAACACTGGCCTCAGAGACTCCACTTTCAATTAAATAATCTCCCACACAGTGAAAAGCAAATGGAAACAAATGGAAAAGACAAGCACCAGGGCAAGGCCCTTACCCTTTCAGGACGCTTCTGACAATATTACAAATTGAAGACTATGCAGGATAGGCCCCTCAAGTGGGCACTTGATCCATGAAGAAATGTAGCCTCGTTCATGGCTGCAGATGGAACTAGCAAGAGGAACCCAATTATCGGCAAAGTGTATGGTCTCATAAATTATGTAGTATGGCAGAAAAGGAAACCCCCAACTCCCTATCATTGTCAATGCTCTCAAATTCATTCATTCAATCAGCAAGCACTTCCCAAATATCTACAGTATAGTTGGCCCTGTGCTGGACCTTGGGACAAGGAAACGAGTCAGGTATAAAACCTGCTTTCAAGTCTACTACTTGGAGACATTTCTATAATGACTAACCATGATCAAAGGCACACTAATAATCAGAAGGCTTGCCAGGAGTACCCTGGAGACACAGGAAAGTTTGTAGTTCCTTTAAGTGCTGCTGTTTTGTGTAGTGGAATAAACCATGGGGTAGGAGAAAGGGGAGGGATCCTAAAGGGCCTTGACTTTGACTACCAGCCTCAAGATCCTAGGCTTACACTTGGAGGGGATGGACACTTTGGTAGAAGCCAACAAGTGTTCCAAGAGGTGTGTGTTGGGCCTCCTTTCAATACTCAGAAGGGAAATGAACTTTTTTATGCATGTTGAGGCTAGGACAGAATTCCTGGGAAGAGAACCCAAAGGTCTCTTCACTCTGTCAAGGTGAACAAAACCAGGTATCCATGAAGTAAATATCCATGAAGTGGTGAGTGGGGCAGAAGTTCCAATGGGTCAATGTTTGTGATGATCTCAAACATCTGGCTCTATTCTATGCTCTAAATTTGGAACGAGACATCCACTTCCTCCTAATCAAGATAAGCCCAGAGCTGAGGACCAAGGCAATTGTGCTAGGTCATTCAGTTGTCTTCCTCTTGGAAATCCTGAGCCAGCCATAGGGAAATTCTCTACTCCAGGCAAAGAATAAAGGTCAATGCTAAGTCTCACCTTAATGCCTTTTACAGACCTGAGAGTCACAGGAGAAATCAATTCCAGTCAAAGGAGTTGTGAAATTTTTTTTTAAGTAGAGCCGGTATTTTAAGATTTTCCAGGTCATGGAAAAATATACACTAAGAACACGAAAACAAGAGTGTCTCCAATGGCACAAAATTTAATCCTCATTGTTGTCTAAATAAAGTCAGGCCAATTTAATAAGGGGGAATGTTCCTTACCCACCATGAAATGATCTATTATGATGCATTAATAGGAAAAACACTATTATAAGTCATTACCACTTTTCCTGGCTGGTTGAAATTTTGTCATTAACCATACTTTCTTTCTCAAAGCTTTCTCCCCGCTTTGCCCCTTGGCTACAAAAGTAATACATATTCACTGTTCAAATTTTGGAAAATAAGAGGAAAGCAAAAGTAAATAAATAAACAAATAAATAAAAACCACAGAAAAACTCCTTCAACTCATCATTAAAAATTGTTTTTCTTACAAAGATTGAGGTTATACTGTATATAGGGTCTTAAATTCTTTTTATTCAGTATTTATCAATAACATAATCTAACATTCTCCAGATATATAATTTTAATCAGCTGTATTTCTTAATATGGATACACCATAAGTAAACTAGTAGCCAGCCTGTGGAAAACAACCTGTTTCCAGGTGTCTGAGCTTATAAATGAATGTGAGCGATATCCTTTGTTCTAATTTCTAAGGGTTTCTTTAGGAAGTAGAGTTACCAGATGGGGGGATATAAAAGACTTGCGTTTCATTGTCTATATTGACAACTTGCCTTCCATTTGTTCAAGAAATGTTAATTGAGTGCAGGAGAGCCCTGGGTTCTGGGCACTGGAGGACCTGGTGGATAAAGAAACAAACTCTGCCCTGGGAACCATGTTCTGATGGCAGTACCAACATATCCTGCCACCAGTTACATCTGAGAACACCTGACTAGCTCTTTACCTCCACCATGATGATCTTTTCATAAACACAAATCTTTGGCAATGCAACAGTCAAAAAAGAAAAGTTCTTTTGCTATTGTTTTAATTTGCTATTCTTTGATAAACAAACTTTCCCAAAGGTTTAGAGATCATCTCCATTTGTGGGTGTGTATGTGTGAATGTGCATGTGAGATGTGTCTGCTCATATACTTTTCTACATTAACATGTTTGCCTCTTCTTGTTTGCCAATGCTTTTAATATATTCTAGATATTAACTTGCTGCCTGCCATATTTGACAGATTTTTTTCATTTGCATTCTATATATCTATGGTGTTTTCTCTCTTTGATTCGACACATCTTAAATCCTTATCAGGCATGGGGGATGGAGCAGTGGACAGAAAGACATGGTGGTCCTCCTGGAGTTATTGGTTGGAGAGAAGACCTTAGTCATTCATATGAGGGGACTCTTACAAACAGAGCCCATGCTGTGATAGACAGGACCTACTTTAGGAGAGAAGTCAAAGGTGTCTGACACCATGAAAAGAGACCCTTACAGTGGCTAAGGAGTGTGGCGCCTATCCTAGGTAGAGCTTCTGAAAAGCAGATGCTGGGACAGGAAGTGTCTTTTAGGAAAAACCTCTAGGGAGTGGGGAAGGCAAGGAAGTGAAGAGGAGAGGGTTGGACAAGGATGTTATCTCCAAGACAGTCTGATCCTGTTGCTCTGTACAGTAGCTTGGTGACACAAATTGCACAGCAGATTTCTATGCTGGAGGCAAGGGTGGGATGGCCCTCTGTGAACCCATTCACCAGGTCAGACTTGCTTATAAGATGCTTCTGGACTGTGGGGGGCTGTGGATTCTTTAGTGAGGTGGCTCCTCAGAAGTGTGAGCTGCCAGCAGCTCTTGTGGCCAGGGATGGGGGTGCACCAGTTTAGCAAAGGGGACCTGGAGGGCACCAGTGGAGCCTCCTAGGACACTCAGAGAAATCAAAAGGCCAGTATGACAGGAGGGATGGATGAGGGAAAGCAGCATAATGGGCCTTGCAGTTAGTAGAGGTCCATGTAGAGACCAGATGGGTAGAAAGAACAAGGTGCAACACTGATCACCTAAGTTTGGGACATGCCAAATACACTCCCCCATGTTGGCAAGTCATCCTGCTCATTGTTAGTGTGCAAAAGGCTCTGAGAAATCCTACACCACAAAAGCTTGTTTAACACCATGTCATTCAAATTCACATTTCCTGAGAAATCACTGAAGAAGAAAAGAACAAAGAAATAGACATCACAGCCATATGAAGCTTCATCTCCAGATAAGAGACAGAGGCATGCACTCTGGTGGCCCAGAATTGCAGAGAAGTGGGCATACTGAAGCACAGTTAGGAATTACAAACCACAGGACTTGATTGAAGACTGGCTGTGGAACAGGAGAAGGAAATGTCAAGGACAACTCTGGACTTTCTAATTTGAGCATCTGGTTGATGACACATCATTCTTGGAGAAGGACTGGGTCTGAAGTTAAGAGGGAGGTGGTGGGAGAGAACCAGACATGTGCAATTACATGACACCCTTAGGCATTTTAAGTTAATAAATGCTAGCAAAATATGGAGCTGAGAAAGATCCTGGGTCTAAAGACTTGGGTTCACCATCCAGCATTACCAGTAAGTGATTTTTATAATCCTGAGCAGGTCCTGTCAGCCCGCTAAACCTGTTTCCCCTCCTGAAAAATGGAGATAAGTCCTATCTAACTACCATCTACTCTTGTCATTTGGATCAAATAAAATAATAGAAATAAAAGAGTCTCCTAAATTGTAGAAGGAAGCCCAAGTACAAGATCATTATTTATGAGTATCACTAGGTTTCTTGAGAGCATCTCAGTTATAACTCCCCAAGGATTAAGTCAGAGAAAGATATGAGGTCAATAGACCCAAAGACATAAATTTAGGAAATGACTGTTATAAAACTAATTGCTGTACCACAGAGTCACTTGTAATGATCCCAGCCATATATATATATATTTTTTGGTACTGGGGATCAAAGTCCACTCCTTGTGCTTTCGAGGCAGGCGGCAGAACCACTGAGCTAAATCCCCAGCCCCCAGCCATATTTTTTTCAAACCTGATGATTTTTTTCCCATTATGAATATCTCTCCCTCTTCCTACTCGTAGTCAATCAAGGCTTTCAATATAGTCACCCATACTCCATTAAAACCTGCTCTCAAGAAATCATCTACTAGTTGGCATTAAAGAAAAAGTATCAGTAAAGCATGATGTGCTTTCTTCCCAGGGATGCCTGCCTCTCTTCAGCAGGGGATTCCTAATGGTGAGGTGGGGCACACGGGGAGTACATTCAAAGAAGTCTGGAAAATGAGACATGTCAGTCATGAAAGGACAAATTCTATGTGATTTCACTTACACGAGTTACCTTGAGTAATCAGAGTCATAGAGACAGGAACCAGAGAAGTGGCAGTGGGCTGGGGGGAAGAGGGAGTTATTATTCAATGGGTTCAGAGTTTCAGTTCTATAAGATGAAAAGAGTTCTGAAGATGGTGGTGGTGATGATTTCACAACAATGTGAATATGCTTAAAACTACAAAACCATGTGTGCACTTAGAAAGTATTATAATGGTAAATCTTATATGCAATTCACTGCCATTAATAATAATAATCACAATCAGCACTGAGGAGGTTCAGGGTCAGGGCATTTGTCCTGGTGCTCTGGGAAACACTCTGCAGAGAGCCTGCTCTGAACATATGTTCTCTGTCTCTCTCTGTCTCTCTCTCTCTCTCCCCTCCCTGCCCCTCACTCACACACATACACATGCATGTGACTCTACCCTGTCTTTTCCGTCAGTTGGGGGAGGAGAGCTGAACCCAATCATCAGGCTAATTTGGGGTTCACCCTGGAGCTTGTAATATTCAAAAGAATCATTGTTCTCACTGTGAAACCGTTTCTCATCCACTCAGCTCTTACATAAGACTCACTTTGGATCTGATATATGGGAAAGAAAAACCCATTACCCATTTTATTCATTTTGAATAAACTAAAAATAATTATCCTTTCCATTTCCTGGAGCCAATAAAGGCTGCTTAGAAAGGACAGAGGGGAAAAAAAGATGTGGAATATGGAAAAAGAGTCCTGGGTTGGGCATACAGGGGCCTCAGTTCCAGCAGGCTCTGTCCTTTATCTGCTGTGTGTGACCTTGGGCAGGTCCCTGCCCCTCTCTGAGCCTCAGGCCTCTCCTATACTGAATGAGAGGGCTGTGTTGGAATCCTGTGGCCTTTGAGGTCCTTTCAACTCTGATATCCTAGTTTTCAGTGAGAATTAAGATGAGAAGCTGAGGCATCTTATCCTTCTAGCCATCTAGTACATGAATCATTTTTATTATTCAGAAAATTTCCCAATTAGTTTTGATGTGATCCAGCTTGGTCAGAAACAGCTACTGTCATCTCTCCTCCCATTTTTGGTCTAGTAACTAGAAATAGTTATCAGACTCATAGTCTCCACTTCCTGGCCTCCTGCTCACTCCCCTGCAGCCTGATTTCTGATCCTCAGTCCTTTGAAACTGTTTATCAAGGTCACCATAACCTCCCTGCACTGAGTCTCACAGATGCGTCTCAGTCTGCCTCTTCCTTAGCCTCCCAGAAACACTTGAAGCTCGATGTCCATCCTCTCTTTCTGAGGAAACTCTCCTCCCAGGGCTGTGGGGAAAATGGCTCATCCTTCCAGAACCTGGAGGGTGAGGGCAGAATCGGGTCCCAAGATGCTGGCACCAAAGACTACGTGCCATACAAGCTTTGGGGTGCCTCCCTTCCTGCTGGGGTTGTTTGCCACCAAATTCTAGATTCTCTGAGGGAGTCCTTCTCTCACAGGTTCAACAGTTATTCATCGAAACTATTTACCAGGCAATACACAAAGCAATGGGGATACAGGAAACCAGTGTGACCCCTGCCCTTCTCGCATATATAACATATTTTTGAGTCAGTAGTCAAAGGAATAAGCGCAAGATCCACTGTGGGTACAAACATGATGATTCTCTGAAGAGAAAGAGCCAGGCACTGTGAGAGATGAGGGGGACCAACAGGATGTCTGCAAGTGCCAGCCTGTCTCAGAACAACAGGGATGCTCAGGCCCATTTTAAAGAGGAGGAGACAGCAGAAGGCTGGAAGGAGGTAGAAGTGTTCCAGACCTGGGAACCTCCCTGTGGAGGCTCAGCATGGGGAGGGGTGGTATCCTCCAAGCAGGACAGGAAGGCTGACACCATCTGTACAAACAGCACTTGCTTTTCCCTGGTTCGGGACTGGGGAAGAAGACAGGCTCTGGAGGCACCAGAGCAGGCCAGGCTGGGACCATTCAGGGTCTGAACACTGCCAGAGTGAGAGGACAGACATGGTGGGAAGCAGGTGGCAGGACTCCACAGCTTCTGAGGACACTCTCAGGAGCCAACCAGTCTTGCTTAGGAAGAATATTCTGTTGTTCTGGGGAGACTTGGGGCAGGGGGTGGATAGGGGGACAAAGACCAGTTCTTTTGCACTGACTCTGCTTAGTTCCCACAGGCACAGACTTAAAGCTGTTTTGCCCAAGATGAGGAAATAGACCCTTTTCCTCAGCATCCTCATGGAGGGTGGGTGCTCCTGTCATCACTGGGTCCACAAAGCCAGAGGCCATTTGGCACAGATGAGGACATGGTGGCCCACAATGTCAGGGACCTGTACAGGAACACACAGCCAAATAGCACAGGGAGGACCACAGCTTCATCTGCATGACTCTGAAGTCCACACCCAGTCTGCACACACCCCCAGAGCCACCTAGGCTGGGGCACTTTGTTTTACAGATGAGGAAACTGAGCCTCAAAGAGAAGGAGCCACTTTCCCAAGGACCAGAACCCAATCCCTAGATCAGCTCCAAGCTGCCTCCCATAATGTGGCAGGAGAGAAAGTGCTCCCTGAACAAATGCCATGATTGTGCATCTGTGCACCAAACAACGTCCAATGTCCCAAGGCCATATGAGGAGAGTGGTGATCGGCTTCCCCAGCAGGAGCAGCTGCCAGGGACTTGGAGCACTCGCTTGGCCGCCCCCTCTCCCAGGAACATGAACTCAGGAACATTTGAGCACTGGGAAGGAGCCCGTGGGAACCAGGCCTGCACTCTCCTCTCCAGGGGACGCCGCAGCCGCTGATTATGCTCCCAGCAAAATTCTTGCTGAACATCTGTATTGTGCAGGGAGCTTGCACCAGACCCTGCCATCACACTGGACTCGGCACAAACCCACCAATTCTGGGGCCATCACCTCTGACCCCACAGAGACCCTGCCTCTTAGGGGCCACACTCTGACCTTGGAAATCTGGAGCAACTTAGGGGGAATTTAGACAGATGTTGCTCTTTTCAGTTTCCTGTGGAAAATAAATGAAACCAGGAGGCAGCTCTTCAGGGGAGAAGAAGAGAGATGTGAGGAAAACAGAGGAAATAAATACACAAAGTGTTCACAAAGCAGTTGTCTCTTCCTTGCTCAGCCCTCCTCAGAAGAGAGGTGACCTCTGGCAGGCCACGTTGCAGCAAAGCAAGTCCCTAACCCATTTCCCAGCCCACATGACCATGATGGCCCACACATAGGGTACCCACCACACAGAGCCCTCAGCTCCCCACACAATCTCCTGCACAGTGCTGAGGTTTGAGCAAGCAGAGTAGAGCAATTCCTCTACTTGGAGTGCCCTGCCTTATCATCTCTCTCTGGAGAACTTTTACTCACCCTCATGGACCAACTCAAACTGCAGCCCCATGCTCCTCCCTCACGGCTTCCCAAACAACAGTCATGGCTGTTCCTTTGGGTCACCCATCACCCTGTGAACACCTTCAAAGTGATCTTGTAACCTGGACTGGGAGAGCAGTTGTTTATCCTCTTCTCTGCCTATCTGTCTGTCTGTCTGTCTGTCTGTCTCTCACAGCAGATGCCATGCCTTAATCATCTGGGGATCCACAGTGCCAGACAGAGGGCTGGATATGGAAGATGAAGCCACTGGATGGGAGGAGAGGGGAGAAATGGCAGAAGGTTAGGACAGAAACATAAAGCAAAAAGGGGAAAAATAGTTTCTCTGAGGTATGCACAAATCCACTCTTTCCTATTGATGTGAGACTGTACCCACCTCTCTGAATTAAACTGCCTCAAGGAAATCCCTGATTAAGTGGTATCAGAGCTAAACTGAGGAACATAAATAATCCAGAGTTAAACACAGCAAGAGTCCATTTCTTGCTTACCCAGAAGGCATACTGGGCAGGGCAGGGCTGCTCTTTAAAGTTATCTGTGGCCCTGGCCCAGGCCCCTTCTGTCTGTCACTCTGTCATCCTAGAGTGCTATACTCATCCAAGGGAGTCTGAGGTAGCACACTGCCATGTCTAACAGTCCAGCCACAGAAGGGAAAGGAAGGACACTGCTTCTCCCAAAGGCACATCTAGAACATGAGTTCAAAGGGTCCCCAACCCATGATGATTCAACTTTACAATAGTATAAAAGCACACCCACAGCCACTGTGGATTCACTTTCAGTATAGTATTAGATAAATTGCATGAGCTCTTCAACACTTGGTTATACGATGGGTTTTAGCTGTAAGGCTAATGTGAGTGTTCTGAGCATGATTAAAGAAGCTAACCTAAACTTTGATGTTTGGTGATTTAGTGTGTGCTACGGCTTATATCTAGATCCACTCACATACACACCAAAGCCTCATGTGCTTATAGGTGGGGTTTTGGGGCAGTGACTGGATCATGGGTGTGATACTGAATTTTTCTACCAATAGGTTCATATCTGGGTGTGGGATTGGGAAGTGAACCCTGGTTGACAGAGGTGGGTCACTGTGGACATGGTCCGGAAGGGTGTATATAGGTATCTCTCTTCCCTTGATGGCCACTGCTTCCTGCCTACCATGCCATGGACTGTTTCCTTTGTCAGGTCCCTCTGCTATGCCACTCTGCCTTGGAGCCAGTCAACTATGGACTGAAACCATACAAAATGTGAGCCAAAATAAATTGTTCTTTAACTTGCAAGTGACGTATTTTATCCCAGTAATGAGAAAGTAACTAAGATAGTGTATTAAGGGCTGGGGATTTAGCTCAGTGGTTCTGGCACCTGCCTCACAAGCGCAAGGTCCCGAGTTCGATTCCCGGTACCAAAAAAAAAAAGATAGTGTATTAAATCCATTTTCAACTTAACAACATTTTCAGCTAACAAAGTGTTTATCAGAACATAATACCATCACAAATCCAGGAACATCTGTATGTTGCTTCCCTTCACCTTCCAGATCTCCTCTCACCTTTCAGGTCCTCCTCTGGTGCAAGGTGAGCTGTGAATTATAGTCTTGGCGTGGGGCTTGTACCTGTCAAAGTGAAAGTTGTATTTCTCCATAAAAAGAGGGAACTAGATTTTGGAAACAACTAGAAATCCTTTCCAAAATAGAAGTGAACAGAAATAGTTTTTTCCATATTTCAAAGTTCCTGCATTTACATTATATATTTGACCATCCTGACAGATCTGTGAGGAAACAGAGGATCAGGGAGGAAATGCCTTTAGCTGAGGCTACTATGTGCACTGAAGGACCATGACAGAAACCCAAATATTGGGTCTAATGTGGGATTTCAGTTTTAAAATTCACCAATATAGAAAGAGGAAAGGGAGAAATGACTGGACAGCTGTGTATAGGGAGGTGACCTGGGAGTCTGAGTTGACTCCAGCTCAGGTATCTGTTGCATTATATGCCTGCCCCAGAGCGAAGATAATGGGAGTTAACATCCAGAACTAGTGCACTGAATGGTCTGCCCTTCTCCATTGGTCAGACTGCACCTGGAGTGCTGTGCCCTGAGGCCAACCCTGATGGGAACACAGAGAAATGGAAGCAGGTCTGGGGCATGAGAGTGGGTGTCTTTGTGTATTCTTCATTATGTTTCTTATTCTTCAGAAGTAATGACCTTCCTGTTCTATGATACCAAGTAGAGGGACTCATACACTGACCATTCCTAGGGAGCAGTGCAGGGTGCAGAGCGCACAATGAATGTGAACAGCAGATACCTGAGTCCTGGTCCCAGCCATCAGTGGCCTTGAGCATGTTCTCACTTCTCTCTGGACCTCAGTTTCCATGTGGATGAGTGTGAGACCTTTTGTGGGGACTCAGGGAGATGACCATGGATATGTGTGGCTCAGTGCTGGACACACAGAGGGACCTGGACAGTATTTGTGGCTTATCTTGTGCCTGTTGGGGTTGTTTGGGAGATTCAGTGAAAAAAACAAATCAAAACATGCAAAGCCCCTGGCTGCAGTTCTTGCCCATGGCAAGTGGTTGACAACTCCTGCTCCCTGATCTTCTGGGCACATCCTGTGTTATAGGCTAACATATGTCCCACCCACATTCAGATTTACCAACCCCCAGAACCTCAGAATGTGGCTGTATTTGGAGACAGGGTCTCTACAGAGCCCATTAAGGCTAAGTGAGTTCATCAGGAGCCTTAATTCAGCCTGACTGATGCCCTTATAAAAAGTAATTATTAGGATACCGAGAAGGACAGTGAAGTCCATGCACAGTTAGACGGGGCAGCCATCTACAAGCCCCATTGAGAGGCCTCAGAAGAAATCAATCCAATCATGACCTTGATCTTGGATTTCTAGCCTTCAAAACTGTGAGAAAATTAATTTCTGTTGTTTAAATCACTGGTCTGGGATACTACTGGGATGTCAGGCAGCCCTAACGAATGAGTTCACCCTGCATTTCTCCTGTTCTGTGTTTCTGTAGGTACCTCAGTGCTTTCTGCCACAGTCCTGAGGCTGAGGAAGTAACCAAGAGAGACTTAAATAAGCATGTTCATAGAGAGTCTCAGATTCTTCAGTGGGTCTGGGTGGAGCATGAGAGTCTGCATTTCCAACAGACTGCAGATAATGCCTAGGCTGCAGGTCCATGGTTCACACTTTGAGTAGCAAGGCTCCAGATAGCACAGTGACAAGGTAAAGTCTGATGCCTCCTAAATCCTGGGTGTGGGTCAAGCACTGGCTCTCTTCCCACTGTCAGAGGACAGAGACTGAAGCACTAGATGGGGAGTGGTAACACTGGGCAGTTTTAGATCAGCTTCTGGGAGGTTACATGCAGGTTACACAATCTCCTCACACCCTGAGGACTTCCTGCTTCTGCTGTCAGTAGGAAGTCACCTATGAGTGTCATGGTCTATTAATCCATCACCTCTTGACACAGATGGGGAGCCTGAGACTAAGACCATCTACATAATTTTCAGAGCTTAGTGCAGAAAGAAAATCAAAGGTCCACAACCCAGCATGGTGGCACACACCTATAATCCCAGCACTCTGAGAGTCTGAGGCAAAAGGATGAAAGTTCAAGTGCAGTGTGGGCAACTTAGCAAGATCCTGTCTCCAAAGGGAGGGGCAGGGAAGGGCCCTGGGGATGTAGCTCAGTGTGAAGGCCCTAGGTTCAATCCCCAGCACCACAAAACAAAGGAAGGAAACAAGAGAGCCAGGAAAGAAGAAAGGGAGGAAAGAAGAAAGAGTAAGAGAGGAAGACAGGGAGAGAGGGAAGAAAAGAGGGAGGAAGGAAAGAAGGGCAGAAGGAAGGAAGGAAAGAAGAAAGAAAGAAAATCAGAAGCCCCTTGTTTAAAAGCATTAAGAATTTCAATATGGTAACATAGAGAATTAAAGTCAGCATGAGCCTTCTAAGTGCAGAGGCCTGGTGCTCAGTTCAGGTTACACATCCCTGAAGTCATCTAAGTGAGAGGTGATCCCTCTCAGCTGAGTCAAAACTCAGTTCAGCCTGACCCTTAGGCCTCCTGAGTCCCCATGGTGAGCTCTTTGTATCACATCCCACTGCCTCAGCTGCATCTGCAGAGCTCATCTGCCTCTAGGATGTAGCTATAGCCTGGCAATGGTGCCCCTGGGCTGGGGAGAGGGTCCAGGACCTTGCAGCCTCCTCCCACCCCTAGGCCTCTGGTTCTTCAATGGGAGACCTGGCTGCCTTTCCATATCTTCCAGTCCCTCTGGTTACATGGCCCGGCCCATCGGAGCAATTCTGTGCCACTCTTGGTGGATGGTGCCACGATCAGAGAGAGCACCAAGAAGGGAGAGGGGCCCCACAGATCAACTCTGCCAACCTCATGGTTTCATGGCCACTCTGTGTGGGCCACTGGTAACTGGTAGCAATTGTGTTTGGCCTTTTGCCACCCATCCCTTCCTCCTCTGCTCCACTGAGCTACCTCTGCCCACTCTTGGGTCAGCAGTGCTAATGCCACCCTAGCCCAGGGGTGGATGAGGATCTGAGATCCATCTAGTGTCCCTCGCCACAGTGGAAGATCCAGGGGTGGTTCCTCAAGTCAAGAGAATCTAAGAAAACTCAAGCTCCAAACTTTTACTGAAAATATTGAATTCGTTAGCTGTAAGAATGGAAGAAGCCTGGAGCTTTATGGTGTGGGGAGGGCCTGCCTCAGCATGAAGCCAATAGACAGAAGTCTGCGGCCATACCACCCTGAATGCACCTCATCTCGTCTGATCTCGGAAGCTCAGCAGGGTTGGGCCTGGTTAGTACTTGGAGGGGAGACCAATAGACAGAAGCAGAGAAAAAGAGACCAAACCCTGGGATATTATTGGAATCCTGGATCCAGCTGTGCTTGAAGCTCTTGCCTTCTTCTTCTTCTTCGTGCCAATTAATTCTATTTTCATTTAATCCAGTTTGAATTGGATTTCTGTTAGTAGCAGTGAAAAGAATGTCACTTGGGATGTGTGCTCAGAAGTAGCAAAGCTTGTCTGTCTCCTCATACACGTACACTATAGGGACCATGCATCCCATAGACTCTGGATCTGGGAAACCTCATTCCCCACAGCATGGTGGGGGTGGTGAACACCAGATCTGGGAACATGAATCACTCGTGGACTTTCTGACTTCCTCTGTAGAGCACCTCCTAGTCCAAAAGGCCTCTCACCTGCTCCATAGCTTTCCCTTTGGTCCATATAACAACTCTAAAAGCCAGATAGGTCAGGGTCTATATCCCCATATAACAGAAGGAGAAACTGAAGTCCCAGGAGGGTAAATGACTCGGTCTAAATTACACAGCCAGTAAGTGGCAGAGCTGGGATTAACACTCACAAGTGAACCCTCAGCTTGTATTCTCCCTCTGCACGCCCAGAGCAGGCTGCAACCTGCTCAGCTTACACTCTGTGTGTTACTTTTCTCTCATTGTTGAGAAAAAATACCTGACACCCAAAGTTAAAGGGGCAAAGGTTTATTTAGCTCAGAGTTTGTAGGGTTTTAGTCTATAATCAGCTGGCTCCAAGGCAGGGCGGCACATAGCAGAGGAGAAACAGATCATGGCAGCAGAAGTCAGCAAAAGCAACAAGGGAACCTTAACAGCGTCTTTCTGGTCCTTTTATTTTATCCAGTGTACCAGAATTAGGGCGGTGCCAAGCCAACCAATGGACTGATTTTGTAATCGCATGCCCTCAATCCCACCATCACACACTCTAGATTCAGCCACCTCTGAAAAAGCCACCTATGACCGCATGAGGCTTTGGGGGGACATCTAGACCCAAAACCTAACACTATGCCTGTGAAGAAAAGTCCTCAACAGAGACTGAGACCTCAAAAACACATGTTTTGGTAGGTCTTTGCCTTTTCTCATTCACTACAACTTCCCCCCAAAAGCAGTCAGGGGACAATGCTCCCTAGTCTAATCTGTTCATTCAGTCAATCAGTCAGTCAGACAGCTGGTCAAGAGATATTGGATGGCACCTCTGGGCCAGGCCGTGATGGATGCTAAAGACACAGTCATCATCAGACACAGTGCCCTGCCTTCCAGAGCCCTTCTTCATATACCACACCAAGTGCTATGCCAAAGCTGAGGGTCAGTGGCCATGAGGTGAAGGCTGGAAGGACTGCTGTAGCAAAAAGATAAAGGGCATTCACTGGTTCATATGATTGAGCGGTGTGAGGTGGATCTTACTTCAGGTACACTGGATCCGGGGGCTCAAGCCACCTTGTCAGAATGTTCTCTTTCCACCTCTTGGTTTAGGGATATTATGGGCATCATTCTTGATGGCTGTTCCCACATAATCACAAGATAGCTGCTGGCCCTCTCTGAGCTACATCTTTCCAGGTTTAAATCCAACTGAAACAAGAGCTTGATTGTTCCCATGAAAGTTCGGAGATTCACTCTGATTGAACCAGCTTAGCGCTCGTGCTTAATACTACTGAGCTATAAACTTAGAAATAACTAAGATGGTAAATTTTATGTCATCTGTAGCTTGTCCTGGTTCTATGATTGTACAAGTCACTACAGTTGTGCTAATTCACTGAGACCTGATTCATGAGCTCCACTCCTCGAGCTTTGGTAGAGCCATAGAGACCACAGAAACTAAGGGAAGGAGTGAATCACTAAGAAGCACTGGGGCTTTTGCCAGGATAAAGGGAAATAGGGGCTGGCCAGCCAAACCAAGCTACCTCTGGACAGAATGGGAGGAAGAATAGCAGACTGGGGGAGGTTGCAATGGTGAGTCCATGTTAGCATGTGTTGTGTTTGCAGGATCCACGGACAAGCAGAGGGAGATGGTGAGCAAGCTGCAAGCAGTGCAGGTAGGGATCAAGCTGGAGAGGGATCTGGAGAAACCACTGTGTGGATAGATGATGAGAAAGAGGTCTCTGGGGCCGGGGATTTAGCTCAGTGGTTCTGCCGCCTGCCTCGCAAGTGGAAGGACCAGAGTTCGATCCCCAGTACCAAAAAAAAAAAAAAAAAAGAAAGAGGTCTCTGAAGGCAAATCATGCATGCACTACAGGAGCCATCTGGGTTCTCTGCTAGAAACAGCAAGTCTGACCTAGTGAAATGTCCTTCTCCCTCCTCTTTCTCTTCAGGACAAAGCAGTGGAACAGTGCCTGTGATCCAGAGCGACCCACGCCCCAAGCTCCATCTTACAACCCGGTGCTCTCTTCTGGTTTTAGTTTGTTTTGCACCTTCTCCTCCCTTCACTGATATCAGGTCCTGAATACTGTTGTTATGGCTTGTATCTAGATGTACCCCCAAAGCCTCATGTGGTCATCCGCGGGGCTTGAAGGTGGCTGGATCTAGGGTGTGTGATGCTCGGATTAAGGCTGTGATACTGGGATTGGGGAGCATAATTACTAAACTTTTCTACTAACTGGTTTAGCATAGTTCTCCATGTGGATAATGGGAAGGCCCACCTCGAGTGTGGGTGACACCACCCAAAAGG